GTCAGTAAAGCGAAAAATTTTATTGAACTTTCAAATATTTTTAAAGAAGAAAGTGTGTTTTTAGAAATAGCAGTACCAACAATAATAACATTTCTTTCAAATGATACTCTAAGATTGAATGGCATTTACATGTCCGATCAACACAATTTATATAAAAATGTTTTAAAATGTTACCATTCAGATCTAATCTTTATACATCCTGTAAAAATGAACTACGGTGAAGATTCTCTCAATAACATAGAGTTTTTAAAAAGTTACTCATACAATGCTTCTGTTAGCATTAATTGTTAGTTTAATCTAACCAGGTTTTGAGTTCAACTTCAAGCATTTTAGTTCTTTTATTTCATCTAAATATTTTATATAATGTATTTTATGTGAAGATTTTCTTTTTAACTAAACTTTTTAAATTACTGTAAACAAGACTTTTTAACAAAAACTATTTTGAACTAAATTAGTACTGAATACGATTTCAACAATCTGTTTTAATAATTGGATATGCCGGTATAATATCCTGGTATGTCCCGTCAGATGGATACGTCAATTAATCAAAACAATGATGTAATAGTTTTTATGACAAAAAAAAACTAACTTTTCTTTTTCTTTTTTTTTTATTATATTTTAAATTTGTTTCACGTTCACTATGCCTTAGAGAGGCAATAAAGTGACAAAAACTCCTAATTTTAAAATATAAACTTTTTTTTTAAACTTTAATTTCGTACTCTCAGACATGTATAAGTGATGTATTAGGAAATTAGTATTGGGAAAGTAACTTTATTAAATTTAGCGTTAAGTAAGGTTTTCAGTGTGCATAATGGTAGAAAAGGTAAAATTCCGTGAATTAAGTGACATTTTTATTTACATTTTAAACGTCAAAAAATTTCTTTTTTCTAAAACTATAAATTTTTATCCTTTTTTTATCTTTTACATTGTAGAAAACTATCAAAAACAGTTGTTGTTTTTTTTTTTATTATGTATCAACATCCTTTAAAAACCATTATTTCATCTGACTTTTACTCTAACATCCTTCGTTCTTCTTAAGCTCACTTAATCTTGGTCTGCGAAGCAGGTTATGATGATCTTCAGTGAGCTAAACTCGTCTTCACAGACCTTGGTATGTGGCCTCTGTATGGCAATTAAACGGAGGAAGACAATACCATCTTGAAAGTAGTTTGTTTTTTTTTACTTTTTATACAAGTATATATCCTAAAAAGTTTATTGTTTAAAAAAAAAAATTTATATTCTATTTTGCGTGTCAAATAATTTCTAGATAAATTTTAAAAGTTAATATTTTATTAAAAAAAAATTATTGTTTTTAAAATAATTCCTAAATAAATTATTGTAAGATAATTCTTTTGTAAAATAAATAAGATTTTGTATGAGATGTGTTATTAGACTACAAATAACATAATGATCATGTTATATTAACGTTGTTTACAAGTCTATTTTAATTTTGCACCCTCTTGATACCATTGCCATATCATGTTGCTCAGCATTGAAGTCCCTAGAGAATAAGAGTTGTAAATTGTATGGAAATGACTGTATGGCAACTTTGATAGTTTTGGCTATAAATTTTTACTCACGTACCTATGATTATGTCAAAAGCATTTCTTACAAGAAATGGTCCATAAAACCCCATTTGGTACACAAATAAAACTTTAAAAAAAAGTTTTTAGGCCAATATTGCACTCATGAAATAAATTTTCATTGTCAGATACATCCAGAAAACCACAAAGTTTCAGACAATGTTTGTTTGAAAATGTCGATGACGATTTGTCTGCATCAGCACAATTTTCATCGCCACAAAATGAAGTAAATATCTCTTTATCGACATTATTGTCAGCGCCACAAAAGGAAGTAGACTTTAAAGTAAATGTTGCTGAAGGTAAATTAGTAGATTCATTTATCCAGTATAGTTTATACTGGATTTACCATCAATAACCAAGCTGTTTAAGCATTTTTAGATCCTGGAAAAAAATGGAAAAAACAATTTTCTATAACAACCAATAAACAAAAACAGTTCATTTACCGGACAACCAAGAGTATTAAAGCCGCTTGATGCATTTATTTTAAAATTGACTTGTTTACACGGGAACTTTGATATTTGTTTTTATTTATTTTTATACAATATTTCAGAAGGAACAGTTTCAAATACTGTAAATACATGGATAAATTTTATGTATAAGACATCTGCATATGGCCTTGTATGGAGTGAATTAGGAAGAAAATTTTCTAATGAATGCAGGAAAAGCTCCCTACTGTAAAATGTATCATTGATTGTGTAGAGTACAAAGTTAATAAACTATCTTAATTATTTATGCACAAAATCATGTAATTAGATAATAAAAATCATACAATAGTTAAAGTTTTAGTAGGAATTGCACCAGGGGGAGGATTTATGTTTATTACGTTAATCAAGGTAAAACTGTAATGAGTGACTGTGGCTTTACAATAGCAGAATACTATAGACCACTTAGTGTTAATATTGTTTTACCATCATTTAGTTAAGGGTAGAGAAAAACTTACTAGTGAGAAAACAGTTTTAAGTCAACAAACTGCAAACTAAAGAATCCTTGTGGAGAGAATAATATAGAATTTTATAAAATTCAAATATTATAAAGGCCAAACATTATAGTTGGTACATGGTGAAAATAGTATATATACTAAATATATATATGAAAAAATATGATTTGTCAGATCATTGTATAAATTTCAGCAAATTAGCCAATTTAGCAAGTAAAAGAGTGCTGATGTAAAGTGAAGAGAAGAAATATAAAGATAATGCATTCTACCTGTTTCTTTAAAGCTATTTTGTGAAGAATTTAAAAAACAAAGAGAAAAAGACAAAAATACAAAAAAATGCAATAAATAAAAAATTTAATTAAAAAAAAAATAATTTATTAATTAAGAAATAACTCCTGATGTTGAAAGTTTTAAATACTTTTTCTGATTTAGTGGAACAACGCTTAGAATTGGTTTTTACCTAATATTACTTAAATATTTACTTTTTTCATTTATTGACCATGTTTATGTATTTTATTTTATATTTAAGTTGATTTTTTATTTAGTATAAATTAAAACAAAAAAGCAAAAAATCTATTAAAAAAAAATTACATAACTGCCAATTAAGAAAAAGAAAAGAATCCAGAAATGGAGAGCTAATCTTAGACAAGAACATGACAATTTACGAATGGAGTGCAAAGTCCTATGGCTTACCTTCTGTTGGTGCACTTCGTTAAATAAGTTAGACAAGTAGTAAATGTCTAATTAATGAACAGAATAGCCAAGGCAACATTTTTATTAGTTTCATTTAAGATGAGTAATTGAGACCAATGCTAAGTAAGTAATAAAATAATACCTTCAAATTTTGTTGCTTGATTCATAAAATCTTTATTCATCACTGCATCACTTAGTTTATGATTCAAAAGATAAACATCTGTCAGACGTTAAACTTTTAAAATCATTTCTAAAAGTGCAGTTTAGCTTGTACTTTCTAGACTTTCACATAGCATCATTAAATAGAAAATATAGTAGTTAAAAAATAAATTTTAAAAACTATTTTAAAAAATTACATAACTGCCTATTTAGACAAGGAAAGAATCCAGAAATAGAAGGCTAACCTAAGTCTACAATACTAATAGTTTACTTATTTAAGGCTACAATACTAATACTTACTGTGTGTGTATATATATATATATATATATATATATATATATATATATATATATATATATATATATATATATATATATATATATATATATATATATATATATATATATATATATATATATATATATATATATATATATATATATATATATATATATATAACCCCCCCCCCCCTAAGCAATTATTTTCAAAAAATATATATGTATATATATATATATATATATATATATATATATATATATATATATATATATATATATATTTTTAAATAATATATATATATATATTTTAAATATACATTAAATATATACATTTATTTTAAATATATATATGTATATGTATATATATATATATATATATATATATATATATATATATATATATATATATATATATATATATATATATATATATATATATATATATTGATAATTTGTTATTGCTCTATTCTTTTAAGAACATTGAGCACTCTTTTTGTAGAATACATTTTAAATTGTTTAAATATATATATATATATATATATATATATATATATATATATATATACATATATATTTTTTGAAAATAATTGCTTAGGGGGTGTTACTAAAACTTTCATAACTTTTGAAATATTAAAGATAAATACGTTCTGTAAAAAGAATATGAACACCGACTTAATGTTTTATATTTTATCATTCAATATAATAATGCAAGGCTGCTCTGATTTTTAAATAAACACGCAAAATGACGAACTTTGCAGAATTTCGAAATTTTAATGCTGCTTTTTAGCAAAAATAATCAGAAAAATTATGTTTCTGTTGACTAATATGTAATATAATCATAGTTAGACAAATTATAAAACATATTAACATTATTTACAGCGAATGCGAACTGATACAGACACTATAATAAAGAAAAAAAAAATCGCAAAATTTTTTTTATTTTTGCTTTCGGTCGTAGGATAATTTCCTGATACTTAAGGCGGCTTTTCACGGAGCGAATTTTTTCGCGCGAAGCGAACTTTTTCGCCACTAATTTTTCGCAGAATCAGAATTTTAATTTCCACGTGGAAATTAAAATTCTTTTTAGACCTCAAAGTTACGTGGCCACGTAACTTTAGCGTAACTTTTAACGCGCTTTTTTAAAACATGTTGATTAAAAGAAGATTGTTGTTAGTTCGAAGAAAATTAATTATTTTAAAAATGTTGCAAATGATACAAGAAAAAGAAAAGAAGAAAAAACGATTTTGGGTAAGGAAAATTTATACCGAACGCCTTCAGAAAGGAGAGTTTCATCTATTAGTCCAGGATTTATGTTTACACGACTGGGAATACTTTTTTAAGTATTTTCGTATGTCTCCAACAACTTACGAAGAGTTGCTTTCGTTTGTAGCGCCTATCATTGTAAAACTAAGAACTACCATGAGAGACCCTGTGAGTCCGAGTGAAAGGCTGGCCGTAACACTTAGATTTCTTGTAACAGGAGATGCTCAGTGTACTATTGCTGCAAGTTACAGAATCAGCGCATCTACTATCAGTAGGATTATTAGTGAGACATGCGCTGCTATCTGGACATCATTGAAAGAGAGAAATTTTCTACACGTCCCATCAGAAAAACAAGAATGGAAAGCAATTGCAAAAGAATTTGAAAACATGTGGAATTTTCCGCATGCTATAGGTGCAATAGATGGCAAGCACATCGTTATGCAAGCTCCTCATAATGGCGTATCAGAGTAATTTAACTATAAGAAAACGCATAGCATAGTTCTTCTAGCTGTTTGTAATGCTAAATACGAATTTGCTATGTTAGACATTGGTGACTCGGGAAGACAAAGTGATGGTAGCGTTTTTAACAACTGCAGTCTTGGTTATGTAATTGAAAATAATAAATTGAATATTCCTGATCCCGAATATATTGGTAATTCAGAAAAGGTATTACCGTACGTTTTAGTTGCTGACGATGCTTTTGGTTTAAAAAGACAGATGATGAAACCATACCTTAATCAAAACATTCCTTTAGATCAAAAAATATTCAACTACAGACTTTAAAGAGCCAGAAGAGTAATAGAAAATACATTTGGTATTGCTACAACACGCTTTCGAATATTTCGCAGACCAATTATTGCTAATCTTGAAAAAGTCATTTTAATTACACAAGTGATTGTAGCCCTACATAACTTTTTTATGAAAAAAAGATCAGCAAACAATTATGTCTACTGTCCCACAAATTACACCGATATCGACGGTCCTGCTGGATTTAAGCCAGGTGATTGGAGACAAGATAATTCATGTTCTGCTGCACTACAACCAATGTCACAATTAGGTTCTAACAACTACTCAAAAGATGCAAAGCAAGTTAGAGATGACTTTAAAGAATACTTTAATACACCAGAAGGAGAACTGGAATGGCAACTAGACTTGGTAAATAGAAACTTGTAATGGTGAACGTATAAGTCACTATTTAAACCATGTAGTTTAAGTAATAACTATTACTCAAAAAATTGACATTTTTTCTGGTATTTCTTTAAGGACAAAGTAAATTATGTTAACAATTGATATAGTAAAATTGTAATACTTTTACCAGGTAGAGCACATATACTTTTAATAATATAATAATAATTTTATTACAACAATACTTAAAATCTTGAACTTCAAAATAATAATTTTTATGCTGATCTAAAGATTGCTTTTTACATATAAATATTTTATAGAAAAGTTAAAATTAAAAGTTTTTAAACTTAATAAATAATCACACCAATGCCAAAAAAACCTGATGAAGGAAAAAAAGTCAAAAGTAAGAAGTACATTAAAGATGTTCTTAAAAATAAAAATACATTGATAAAACAAACAAAATATAACAGAAAATTATTATTATTATATATATATATATATATATATATATATATATATATATATATATATATATTTTATAATTATAATTATATATAATTTACTCTAAATCTCTTCATTCTCACCATATTTCATTTTGATTTTTGATTCGTGCCTTCTTTTGAATGGGTGATCTGGTATGGCTTAATCTTTTTCGATTTTCAGTTAGAATTAATTCACTGCTAAAACTACTGGTACTTGGACTTGATTATGTAAAACTACATTGTGAGTGAAACGATGATGGTGAAGCAACATCTGGGACAATATCAACATTAGATTCTGTTGGTTTGTTTGCACTTTTTTCATTCAAAAATGCCATTTGATCAAAAAACTTACATTTTGGTAAGTTTGAGGCTGCTGCTCCTGATCTGGTCATACGGTTACGTTTATCTAAACATTTTTTTAGTTATCTTTTAGATTTTTTAACTTTTTCTGAAGGAAGTCCTCTTCTTTACAAAATTTTAATGCAAGTTTTTTCCAAGCGTTTACTTTAACCAATCTGTCTTTGTATGTGGGGTGATTCACATCCCACAAGCTTGGAAGCTCACGAACAGCTTCTATAAAATGATCTATATCGAATTCAGTAGAAATAAAATTATCGTTTTCATTCTCTTCGTTTTCGTCTATTTCATTAACTACTTCTTCATTCGTGATTGCAACTTGATTTTGATAAGCATTTATTAAAGCTTCCAATAAATCTACGCTAACATTTCTTTCTGTGTAAAACATGGCCTTCGAACTGTGACAGTAAGAAAGCCAAACCCTATTGATATCGTCTTGGCTTCTATAAAACACTCGACGAACATTTAAAAATGGTAAATTTTCCCGATCCTCTTTTGGTTAAACCGGATGACTCTTGAAAAATGATTCAAGGCACTGCGATTGTGGACGCATGAAAATTTCCGAACACTGATTCTGAGGCCGGGAGTCAGAGGATACAGATTTCTGGGATCGAGTTAGCACAGTGCAGCTCACGGAGGCTGAGACGGCAGGACCGGCTTGATCGCCGTCAGAAATTTGAGAACCTAAATCATCAACCAGAGTATCACCACCAAACTGGGTAGGGGTACTTAGTCTAAAAAGTTCGGTTATCTTTTTACACTTTTCTCCCCCTTGAAGAAGAAGCTTTTGTTTCTTTTCACGTTGCTTTTCTGCCCCGCCTTTACTTTTCCGCTTCAAATCTTCACTCATCAAGTATATACGTAAGGAGAAGACTATAATATTAGAGGCCCATTTAAGTTTACATTTTAACTTTATAACTATTTTGCGAACAAACATGGAAACATACATAAAATGAAATGCTCTCAAAACGACTAAAAAATCTGGCCAGTTTTTCGCAACTAAATATTATTTCCGTGGTCAACGATCGCTCCGATCGCTCCCGCTTCCCGAATACGCAATCATCAACTTTTCACTTTATGCTACACGTAGTTTCACACACTGTTTTCAAATGCCGTTTTCACCGTTACACGACCTGTCACTTCAAAAGATTCACTTCACAAAATGCAATCATTAAAAATACGAAATATCTCACTGCGGATGGTATCGCATAATTATCGCTAGCCATAAATCGCATTTGAAGTCAAAAGCAAATCAAAACAACCTGCTAAAAACCAGGCGGCCCACCGGGAATCGTCCCGGTGTCCCGGCGGCCCAGTCCAGCCCTGACTTTATATATATATATATATATATATATATATATATATATATATATATATATATATATATATATATATATATATATATATATATATATATATATATATATATATACAAGAAATGACTTTTAAGGATATATGTGTATATATTATATATACATATATCCTTAAAAGTCATTTCTTGTTATACAATATATATATATATATATATATATATATATATATATATATATATATATATATATATATATATATATATATATATATATATATATATATATATATATATATATATATATATATATATATATATATATATATATATATATACTAACATCAATGTAATTATGTATTGTGATTATAGGGTAGCCTAGCAACAGCTTACTAAAAGTTAATGTTAAAAAAATATATTTTAATCTTGAAAAAAAATTGAATACTAATATTAGTAAACATTCTAAGAAAGATCAACAGTTCATCTATCTGAAAAAGTTAAAATTTTAAAATTTCTACGCTCAAAATTTTTTTAAAAACAATTCGAAAACGATAAACAAAACACACTAAAATAGCTATTGCTGTAATTACATTTTATTCATTTTTAGAGGTTTTATATTTAATTTGAAATATTTTATCGTGTACTAGAAGTTACTTTTATTATAATTTCCTTTTAATAAACGGCTTGCCTATTTAAAAATAACAAAATAAAACAAAATGCTTGACTATTTAAAAATAACAAAATAGCACGCTCCTAAAATATTTTGAAAAGCAATTTTTTGGTAATTGATCACAAATTCAACTAAATGCTCAAAATTTTAAAATTTAGATAGTATAATTTAAAAAAAAAATGACTTTTTTATCTTATACCGAGAAGCGCGCCTATGGAATTTAATTTCAAAGAGAAAAATAAAACATATGACATCAAAACATAAAACCGTTACAAACGATGAAGTGATTAAAAACTTTGTGCAAAGCAACAGTGTCACCGTTGTACAGAACAATTCCAGGATTATCTCGAATTTATTTTAACTTTAAATTAATTGATTTACGCTCTCATTTGAGTCAATAATATTATTAATCCAAATAAAAATAACTGATTTCCTTTTTAAACCATAATTAACAAAAATAATTTAACTAATAAATATAAAAGCTTCATTCAATACGTTTACGATCACGTTTACAAAACGATCATTTCGATAGTAAAGTGAATGTGAGATTGTAATGTAAATGTGAAAATAAATTAATTATATGCCCATATTTTTTTATTTTTTATTTTATTTATATAGTTTTTCTGAACTCCTTGTTTTTATTATGCCACTTTTTTTTTTAGTTTTATTTTATTATTTTTATTTTATCAATATAATTTTTCTGAACTCCTTGTTATTTATTATGTGACTTATTATTAGTTTTTTTTTACTTTATTTCAGGTAATCGCGTTTTATTAGCGAATCACAAATTTTCAAAAACACTAGTCATTTGCAACAATCTGTGTTTTGAAATGTTCATCTTTTTAACTATACTAAATACATACATTTCTGATCGAAAAACATAAAATTTTCAACATTTTCTTTTCTACTTAAAAATGATTGTTATATACTTAGGCATCTTTATTCTGTGGCGTAGCTTCAAAACTTTGGCGATTCAGTAGAAATGTAACTGTAAATGTAACTAAGGGAAGTTGTTTATAAAAATACGAAAAACAATAATTGTAATCAACTTAGAATTCTTTATATAAATATAAGAAACCTAAACCGTAATTTTGAAAACCTTCTTAATTTGTTAGAAAAAAATTATAATTTTTTTTTATATCATTTGTTTAACTCGATAACTGAAAAAGATTTAAATAATAATTTGAATTATATTCTTACTTACTTTGATTTAATTTCTCAAGAGATCAATAAACGCGGGAGTTCTAATTTATGTAAAGAAAAGCATTGCGCGTTAAGAATGATTCAAGTATTTCTGACGTCGACAAATAAATTTCAACAATTAAAATTCTAAACAATCAATCAGATAACTTTTTTTTTTTCACATTTGTTGGTTGTTGTAAGCTTTATGTAACAGGGCCGACGACATGGGTTTCAAAATGGGGGGGGTACAACCGTCAATTCTTAAAAAAGTCAGGTCTTAAAAAAAATTATCTAGAATTTAAATATATATATATATATATATATATATATATATATATATATATAT